GCTAGTAGCAAAAGGCATTCAAGCATTCCCTATATGCTGAGACGGATATAAGTCCGCTTTGCTTCAGTTGTTCGTAGCACTTCCCCTAAGCAACTTTGATCATCAAAAGCACATATGACTTGGGATCAGAGTTATGCCTAGATAAGTTCTAAACGCAAAATTGAATTCAGTGACTTTGTCATCATTCTAGTATCCACCCCTCAAACTCACACAGTTCATGCAAGAAAAACAGCTTCATATATCAAACGCCATATTTGCATGAAAGTTTTGGGGTTGCTAAAGTACAGCATGAGAAGACATCAATTTTTTGCAGATCCAAAGTTTTTCCAGCTTAAAAGCCTTTGTGTTGTAGTGTAGTACAAGGTTTTCTGTGAGATAAGCATTTTGATTCACAAATTGCAATGCAAGTCTAGCCAAAGTTTGCTTTCTGCTGGAAACTCCACATACGAATTTGATTCAATGCAGATTCATAGAAGTTTTGAAGAGCGAATGCCCTGATATTACTTGGATTTTAAATGGACTGAAACTATTAGATGCATAGTCATAGTTAATAAATGGCATTCTATGAGGTGTGATGAAATGGAAAAGAACGGAGTATCCACGTGACTGATATAGTAACCAGTGCGTCACCTCTGCTTCGCAGAGGCTCGCACTGGCCCTATGCTCTGTATGCCTTACTCATTCCCGCATAATAATGACATTGAAACTCACCGCGCTATGTAGGCTATCACGAATAATTCGTAAACAACTACTCATTCGTAGAGGTCTTCCATGTGAGATCGGTATTTTCGCGTGGATAAAATCTTTCCCAGAAGAACAGATGCAAATTCGAATAGGCTTTTGGAATTTTTATGGCTTGATAGTCGCCGTAAGGACAATAGACATAGTGGGCTACACCTCTGTGCAAAATTCTTCTCAAATAATCAGGTAAAATCTTGAATATTTGACCGTTTACACAGCGAATGCTTTTTGGCGCTGTTTTCGTAAAGTAGTAGACTTTTCATGACTTTTTAGGCTAACGTCCATGGCTTGCACATTAGCTTGTCGAATATATCCTTAGCTCTGCAAAAAGTAGTACTACGGACCCAAATTTGCTGGCGAGAAGCCAAGTGGATCCGTTTGACGCGCAATTTTCAATGGATCCACTTAACGGATCCGCTCATGCTTTTGTATATTGAGGTTTCATGCTGGTAGCGTGCGCTGTGCAAAATTTGGGCTCAGGACGTTGGCTGGAACACGCTCTACGAATTTCGTGACAGACAGAGATTCACACACACAGACAGACAAACGTAAACAACCCTTAGCCCGTTATTATAAGTTATGATAGTATAGTATAGTGATATAGTAAAGTTAGATCAGTCTGGATATCGACCACTTGGTGGGAATGAGTTTGCAAGAGTGAGTAAACAGGTTGAGGGAAGTCGAAGAAAGGTTTGCTGAAGCATTTTTGTATGGAATGAATGGATTCGCGAACGCGATATCTTATCGCACCGCAGGGACTAAGCCCATTTTATTCGCGTTTCATTCTCGAAAAGCCCATTTTTAAATGGACTTTCGTGGATATCATTTCAGGACTATGCTTGGAATTTCTCAATGTTGGGTTTTATTTTTTCCGCCCCTGGATGCTTAAAGGCACCGTCCACCCAGATTTTCGACTTCCATGTTTTTGTCGTTTCAGGGTTTTCTCATGGTCCTGATTCCGAATATGAAGTCGAGAATGCGCGACCCCCCCCCAGTATCCCCGTCCCGGAGAACCCACAGGCCGGCTTTCCGAATCGGTGATTGGATGGGCGCGCACAAATGGGCGGGCATGGATGGGGGTCCTCGTGCATCTTCGCTATTCCGAAGCGATTTTCTCACTTCCGAAGCGGTAATTTGCGCTGCGACTGGTGCAACGGATTGATAGGGGGCTCTACTATTATATGCTGCCAAAAGCTCAACACCCTCACTGGGTGGATGGTGCCTTTAAGGGGCTGGAAAAGAGATTCGCGTCAAAAAGAGCGAGGGGACTGGCTGCAGGGGACTCTATATGTGGGCCCTCTACCCGTTTTGACCGATTTTGACTGATTCGCTCAATCAGTCCGCTGCTCAATTGGTGGGAATTTCTTTCTCCCCCCCCCCTTCTTCAGCAATCTTCAAGGCCGAGAAACGTCAAGAATCCACCACAAACTCAGCGCAATCGGAAAGTTAAGAAATGATAAAAATCAAGTAATAGCAATTTTCTCGAGCCACTGCCTCAGGAGCATGAAACTTCGCGCAATATTCAATGTTCCATTGGGTCATGTTTCTGAGATCGCAAGGATCTAATGACTCAAAGTTTTTGTTGTGCTTACAGTTGTACTGCCACGAGATTTTTCTATCGAAGCTTTTCAAACTCTGACTTTTCAACAAAGCTTGAGCAAGATCTGAACCTGATGAAGGGGCAACGGTAGACAAAGTAATGTTTTAATATTAGCATGAAATTTTTAGGCTTTTTGACTGCTATCCCCCCAACTGCCAAGAGAAGGAGGAGCGCAAGCCTTTGTGCCTTCTCCGACATCGAAGTGTGAAGATTGATTGTAAGTCAATCTCTTTTTTGCAAAACCTTCAAAAAATGCAGTCATTGTAGAGTTTATCATAAGTCATTCTCTTTTTTTTTGCAAAGTCTTTAAGAAATACAGTCATTGTAGAGGCATTGGGCAGCAGTCCTTGCTGCCGACTGAGGGGAAGGCTTTCTTACTGCTATCCCTCAAACGCCAAGCGAAGGAAAAGATCAAGTTTTTATGCCTTCTCCGACATCGATATGTGAAGGTTTATCGTAAGTCAATCTCTTTTTTTGCAAAACCTTCAAAAAGTACAGTCATTGTAGAGGCAATAGGCAGTAGCCTTTCGCTGCCGACTGAGGGGAACGCTTTTTTACTGCTATCCCTCAGGTGCCGAGTGAAGAGTGCAAGTCTCTATGCCTTCTCCGGCATTGGTGCTTGAAGATTTATCGTAAGCGATTTTCTTTTTTTGCGAAGTCTTCAAAAAATAACGTCATTGTAGAGGCAGTAGCAGCAGTCTCCCGTTGCCAACTGAGAGAAAGCCTTCTGACTACTTCTCCTCGGGTGCCGCCGACTAGGGAAAATTGGTGCTGTCTTTTTCTCTTAGTAGCCGGCATCTGAGGTGTCGAGTGAGCTTCTCCCTTAGTGTTATGTGCTTTTCAGCTGTGAGTAATCTTCTTTATGATTTGTTTGGAACCTTAGCTTTGTACTCGAGGTAGCTATCGCCGGTTTCTTCTGACGAGAATTGCTTGAATGAGATTACGAAGGCTTTCATGAAGTGTTTGAAATAGAGACTTCTTGGAATTGATGTAAAGAATTTACGTTGCGGTATGATCGTATTGTAAGAGAAAAAGGAGCACTGGGAATTCTTCTTTTCGTAATCATCAGTAACCCGAAGCAGTTGCAAACACGTGAAAGTAATGCAATGATGCAAATACCGCAATGCAAATTCTTCAAGTTCATATCCAGAACTAATATGTTTCAGGTTTTGAACGCTACTGTCACAGCACTCTCAAATAAACATTTCTACTGTTTCTTAAATACTTAGAGTTAGACATTGTTGACCTGTGGTGATTTAATCGTGTTATCATTAAGCCTCCCGGAAAGGGCTTTTCATACATTGCCGAAAGAACTAACAAAAAGTATGAGAGTCCGGCGTAGCCGGACGATCATACTGGTATGAAAATAAGCTGTGTAAGCTTTTCCATCAACTCAAAAAAGCTCGTGGTCTAACCCTCCAAGAAGGTTCGTGACTTTTGAGGAACGATGCAAGCAGCAATTCTATTGATTTAGCATTGCTCATTTTATAACACTCGAGCAGTGCGTGTTTTTACAATCAGACGAAATAATACGGCGACACACATCAATATTATTGCTGTATTCATATTTTTCGTGGATTTTCACGAAGTCATTAACATCCGAGTGATGTTTTTTCCGATTCTTTCTCTACCGTCTGACAGATGAGAAAGCACTCAAGTCTCACACATTAATTGAGCCACTTGAACCATTTATCTATTGTAATTCATCCACTTCGCTGTAAGTCAAACCACTAACACCTCTAATTTAAATGATGGAAGTGAACCATATAGACGTTTACCTAATGTGTGATTACAAAAAATTCAATGTCAAACAAGCACGCCAAATTTGGGAGAGATGCGATTTTTTAAAATAGGTTCGCAATTATTGAGAAAATCAGGTGAGTCGTGTTATTTTAACCGCAATAAGTTAGAATATTGGAAAGGTAGCAGCAAAAACTTTTCCCATTCACCAAGCCGATCAAAAAACTTCTTCTCTTCTATAGAACAGATCAGTAAATAGAACTTCTTCTCCTTCCACCTCGCCAATCTGTGCTATGTAGAAAGCCGCTAGACTGTAGAGCTCTTTTTGCAGAATGGATATCAAACATTGATGAATTGTTCCATACATCCGTATCGGTTTTATTTCAGTCGTTTTCTGATGAAACGGTTAATTCGCGACTTGACATAGTTACATAACTAGGGTCGTGCCTGATCGTAAAAGTTGGTGGCTTCACTGCCATTGCCATGCAACATGCCAACAGAGCTTTCTTCTGTTCTTTTCTAATGTCAAACGCTTTTTTGCCATCAGACGTTAGCTTTCAATCACTTGAAGCGATCATGAGAAGGGCGGAGATGTTTCATTAGTTTAAGTGGTCTTGTTGCGTTCTTGCTTAAACAATGTTTGCAGACGATACCTTTATGTTGGCAATGCCCTATATTTACTCTGCAATTTCTTGACAAGAGGTAGTGGCCTCTGATTCTTGACCGCAAGACTAGGTTTTTTGAAAGGCAAAAATCGACATATGAGACATTAGATCTGCCCGAAATAATCTGGACGGCCGCAATTGCCTGCAAAACTAATCTTTCCATAAACAAGAGCGACTTCATTTGTGTAAGTACCATTCTCTCTCTATTCACATCAAAGACTGGCTGCCATCATATTCATCAAGCACCTACAGTAATGGCAAAAAAAGATGACGAGCTAGAAAATGTATTAGTCGCTCAGGTAAACCTTAGCAATAAAAACTTGGCACTGTCTCACAGGGTAGTGGAAATGCTCTTTGGTTGATGCATAAAGGAAAAGTCACATCGTAACACTGTTTGTGCTCTGAGCATCTTATCTTGCACGACTCAGCAGAATTACACCGCCTTTCCAAAATTCATAATCTCGCTACCTTCTTTAATTCAAAAGGAAAATTTTTGAACAGTTCGAGCCTGACCTACTCGTCAAATGCTTTCCCCTGATCCGAATTACCCAACTATTATATTACGATGACGCAATCCAAATCAGCAGTAATGTCAGAAGAATTCTCCCACTCAAAGACAATCGATTGCCACTAGGTGCACATTCGCGGGGAGGGGATTTCAACTACGGCCCAAAGTTTCATGAAACTTATGTAAATGAAAGTCGTGCTTGAATTTTTCCTCTAAGCTTGCCGGAACGAACCAGCTGCTCAGATAATCGCGGGGGGGGCAGGCGGCCATGTGAATTTTGAGCAAGCGGGTACCGGAAATATAGTTAGCTGATTTCTTGCGGCTCAGAAATTTGGAGGAATGTTGACCAATTTTCAGACGAATGCTCGGAGAACTATCGCGGTTTTCCCACAGATTAGTTGCGGCGCATTGTCCGTATTCTCGCGGACTTTCCGCGAGAATATGCAAGATTCTTGGGGGCCGCGCGGTCCTTTGTAGAGGACCGCACATCCCTCAGATACTTTCCGCTAAGAGAAAGTACCTCAAACTTGAGTAGTTGAATTAACGGTGACACCACATAGAGTCTTACCTGTGCTCGACGTAAACCCGAAACTGCGTAAAAAGAGTCCGAGCGCTTGCTGAAAGTTTGGCCAGCGCTCGCTGAAAGAGATTATTTGACGAGCGCCCGGAGAAAACTCTGTATTGCCCCGATAGCAGGACATTCGACAGTAAAGGAGGTAAGGCCTGCTGAAGGTTTGGCCACGCCCCAAATTTTGCTGGCCGCCTGCAAGAGAACGCAAGTTTGCGGACCGCCTGCCCACCGCGATTATCTGAGTGGGTGCCAGCTGAGCTGGAGTCGACCCTTTGTCCACATAATTTTTCATACTTTTTTACGTAAATGCTAACATCATGTAAAAGCTCTCATGCAGAAAGAAAACGATTTCATGGTCTTTCTTCTAGTCTGTTTTAAGGTCTTTGACACCTTTGAACAAACAAACGAGCGGGTCATCAATTTTTACTAGGCACTCGGTGCCCATATGCTTACCTTGTTCTTCTTCTCTCTTCTCTGTTCTATCAAATCGTTCGTATCATTCGCAGAGGGAGAAGGCGAGGTGGAGAGTGATGAGAGAGAGGGAGAGGAGCTGAAGTTGAAGGAGGGGAAGGAATGTGTCTTTTGTGTGTTTTCGCTTGCCCTTTGTTCTACGTTGGGCCACAGTCCCACACAAGATAAATGGCGAAAAGCCAAGTAGAGAGGTGTGAGAGGTCTAAGGTGTGAAGGGACTTGTTGTAAACTGAGCTAGGGACTTCGATTCAGAAACTCTCAGTTCCAGCTCGTCGAGTTCTGATTTCGAATAAAACGTTCCGCCTACGTCGCCCGTTTGGCTCGACATGATCTGATCTTGTATTCGCGCTGTATGTCAATACTGACCCTCATGTGAACATGCATGCTCACAGCGCAAAAATGATGCAATGTGTATGCACCTCAGCGCAGTGGCAGGGAAATAGCATTTAGAAGGCAGGAAAACGTTGTGTGAAATGAGACGGAGCGGTGAGTTCTTTCGGGTTATGTTGGCAATGTTTAGGCGAAGTGTGGTATCTCAGCTAGCCATGAATAAAGTTGGGTTCCGTACTGAGAAATATGAATGCTACATTGAGGCTATGTGTCCAATTATTAAATATTACATATGCTGACATACCCGGCTCCGCCTGACCGCTCCCAAAATGGTGTCCCACACCCAACATTTTCAACTGTCACACTTCTCTGAGTCAGTTCCTTGCCCCCCCCCCTCCTGCGTTTTTGAGATCAACATGCTCATTACCCCTCCGCGCCAACTCCCAGTCTTGTAGCTCAAAGATTGCAAGAATCAATAAAATCGATAGAAGCAAGAATAACTCTGGAAGCCCTTAGCTGAAGTTTTGCAAAAAATTGATAGAATTTCTATCAATCGTTAACGAAAAGTAGTCTATGACATCGCTCCCGCCCCGAAGTGCATGTGTGCAAAGTTTGGCTAAGAAAGGTGCGGATCGGTTAAGGTGAGAACTTCTACATTCGGAACATGCAATACACCGTCTGTCTTCATATAGATGAAAGAATAAAAGATAAAAGATTCGGCGTCTTCAAGCTTTCTTGGAAAACATTTCACATGCTTCAGATGGCCTGACTAGAACGGCAACTTAAATAAATGTTTGCTACCCCGTATCTGTTTGTCTCCCAAGATGAAGCAAGTACTTTTCTTTTTGATACTCTTTCTCCTCCCCACCCCCTACTTCTCCTCCTCCACGACTCTTTACTAAATACACAGACTTACAGCCGGTTCAGGCAAAATCAAATGATGTACTGGCTTATTTCACAAATAGTGCTCCTGTTAGAAGTAAGAAAACAAGCTAATTTTAGCTCATTTTAGAAATCTCTAAATTTTTCAAAGCCATTCTTGAAGTTTTACAAAGCTAAAGTTTTCTTCAGTGCAGCCGGTGGTAATCAGGTACTTAAATTTATGATTAAAGTTTACGATGTCTGCTATGCGAATAACAAGATGATTGCAGCGGCTGCGAGTCACAAACAACCTACCCAGAACAGGTATCAAGGTTCAGGGAGTATCAAGGTGCTCCACTGCTTTTCGTTACTTCAGTCTATGCCACAGTCTTGTAACAAGCGTTAATTTCAGGCGTCAAAACAAACAGCTGATGACCTCCCTAGTTACCTTGACAGAGGCAATATCGAGATTACCGAAGTACCGTTGACGTGTACTTAGTACCGGTTTTTACTGTCAGTATGTAAAAAAATAATCACAATCAGTACAATCGTCTCGCAATAAAGTTTATGAACAATGAACTGCAATTACTTTAATCGTTCGGATTAATTTTTCTATGAATGAGTATAATAATATTTTAGAATAATCTGACTTTTATAGTTTAATTCCCATTTTTCGATCTAAAAACATGAAACAATCAGCTTCACAATATCAAAAGAGAAGTTTCGAGTAAAAGATTCAAACATATATCATTCAACCTCCTAAGAGACACGAGCACGCTTTTCGTAAATTACTACTAGGCATTCCAAGAAGACATTTTCGAACCTGTGTCGTTCAACATGCTCGAGCATGTGCTCTTTCACGAATTTTTGATAGTAATTCGACGAAACGCGTTCGAACATGCTCATAAACGTGTCATTCAGAAGTAGCGAAGCGTGCTCGTGTCTTTTAGTCAGAGAATGAATGATAGATTATCTAAGCTAGACCAGGGTTGCGTGGCCTGCGGCGGATCTCTTGAAAAAATTGTGTTCATGCATTACGAGCGAAGCGTGTGGAAAAAAACTGCACAAACAGTGTGCAAGACAATACACTCTTCCTGTAATTGCAAAAGCGATTAATCAGTCAAGCAGAAGCTTTGAAGAAAGTTATGGATGGATTAACTGGATGTGCTCCTTCGTGTTTTGCTAGAAGAGGGTGCGATTTGAAAGCAAAGTCAAAATTTACAAAGTGCTTGTTGTACCTATAGTCCAAATTTGGTGTCAGATGCTTGCAGAGACAAGCATCTGACACCAAATGTGGACGTATAGAATATTATTTACGTAAGAATTATGTAAAGAGTTCTGAAAGCTTATGTGAAGTAATACCTTCCCTAAGTTCTTTCAGATGGCCATCATATGATCTGAGATCGTATAGGCAACCCGAAGCACATCTTTGATTCAACTGGTTGAGGTTCGTCAGGGCAGGCCGCTCGCTGGCGCGAGCGGCCTGCCCTGACGAACCTCAACCAGTTGAATCAAAGATGTCGCGACGCACCTGCGTCTCTCGCCAGTTGAATCAAAGATGTCGCGACGCACCTGCGTCTCTCGCCAGTTGAATCAAAGATGTCGCGACGCACCTGCGTCTCTCGCCAGTTGAATCAAAGATGTCGCGACGCACCTGCGTCTCTCGCCAGTTGAATCAAAGATGTCGCGACGCACCTGCGTCTCTCGCCAGTTGAATCAAAGATGTCGCGACGCACCTGCGTCTCTCGCCAGTTGAATCAAAGATGTCGCGACGCACCTGCGTCTCTCGCCAGTTGAATCAAAGATGTCGCGACGCACCTGCGTCTCTCGCGCGCCAGTGCTCTCTGATCATTACCTAGCCTTAATTAGGTCACGGCCGCGCCTTTGCCAATCCTCAGCCAGTTGAATTAATTGTACATTTTTGTAAGTTTACATAGGTTTTGGATTTATCTGTCATAGACGAATCCTCCGCTCAAGAATCTATCCCTGAGCATGAAGACATTCTCAGTCGTTGCCTCTCCTTTGTTTTTTTCGCCTTAATTTCTCCATAGATCGCTTTGCTAGATATCGCGCTCCAATACCAACCTCTTGTGCATGGCTGAGGAAACTTAGGAACCCCAGTCTAATTAGCCCGACTCGGGAAGTGCCTGCAGGATGCACTCATCCTCGCTATCTCCGGTGGCGACAATCTCAGCCCCACCTCCCCCCCCCCCCTGAAAGCCTGTTTTGGAACCTGGCCAAGATATGCTGAAAATTCCAATCAAACTACAGGGAACTGGTTCCTAGCCAAAAACCTTCAAAATGATCGTACGAAGGTGAAATTAGGTTCAAACGGAAGAGAAAAACCGCGTCGTCATCACAACATATTTACTTATTGAAGGTAATGAAACACAGCATTTTTTGTTCAAAAGTTTATTTAAGTGTCAAATTCAGACAAAATGCTGGCAAATTATATGAGAAATTCCGAGCTTTTCGCAAATGATTTATTTGAGTGCTAAATCCGGACAAAAGACTGGAAAATCATTTGAGAAACGACATTTAAAAAACTGCGAAGGCGCTAAAAGTTTCGAGCCGAACTCGTTCCAGGAAAGCAACTTGTTCAGTGCGGAAGAAAATTTTAGTCTTCCCCAGTGCGAACTTAAAGAAGCGTAGAATGAGAGTTATCATGAGCCCGGACGTCCAGACATTTGTAGCATGCTTCCTCAGGGAATTGCCGCGATTTATCGCACCACATTGCTTTCCCTTCCGGATAAAGTACACGAAATCGACGACCAAATTCTTCATAGGTCCACCTTGGACAATTATTCAATTTTTAATGCTATAGTGCTTCAAAACTTTTTCCAAGATGTTTCGCTAAGTTTCACCAATGATCCAAGACGGCGGCTATAGTTGTTGTCCTTGCGACGCCGTGCTAGCGCCCTGTCAGCGCCGTGATGGTACCCACGTATAGCGCCCTATTTATTGATCGAAAATCCGACAAGGAGCTATCACGGTGCTGGAACGGTCAGCCATAAACTGACTACAGCCGTCCTCACTTCATCATCACATCGAGTGCTTGCACTTTTCTGAACTTGCCTAGCAAGAAACATTCCAAAAGTGAGCCTTTTTTCTATTTTCCAAGTCTTTCGTACTCCTTCCCGTCGTGTATTATTTAGTTACTCAACCATTTTCTTGCCCTCTGAGAACTAATAAGTGGTACAATTACAGAAACTGTCCGTTGATATGATGACGACTGAGTGTACAAATCGCCAATCTTCTTATCCAGTAGGGAGACCACCCGCAAGTATACGCACAATTTCCAGAACGCCACAAGCCCTCAACTGCTGAATGGCTCGTTTGGGCTCGAAGTAAAACTTCACAAAATTAATCTTCCGACAACCTTGTAAATCGTTTAGAACCATTTCAAACCTTTTTTTCTCATCATTTGGCTTGATACATCGCACATAATGTGGTCTAGTCGTTTCCACAACTGCCACCAAATCCCGAAGAGATTCACGGAACTGTAAACACAAACCTACTAAATTCGAATTTCTTAAGCATTTTTTATTTCTACCTGGTCAGTCACGGTTTTTCCAATGTTTCTGCCAAAAATCATCTCTTCCACAACATTTGAGACCATAATTTCTCGTAGCAGGGGAACTAGACACAACCATCAACGATTTTCCATATCATAACCCTAATGGATACCTTGGTCTTAGCGACTAACTCTAACAGCTGTTTGCTCACCGCATCTTTGTTCTTTTTCATGAATCCGTCTATGGTGTGCGAAATTTAGAACACTTATCATTTCTACTTGTTAGTCTAGTGCAATGCAGCTAACATCAGCTGCGAAATGTTGCACAGTAAACTTGCTACTCTTAAAGCTTGGAAATTGCAGCTGTTGATTTTTCTTGAGCTTTGGACAGTTTGATATGCTATCTACTATCAACATCGGAGCCGTTTATAACCTGAAGTTAAATATACTGCATAAAATAGTTCGTACAGGACGTGTTGTCTCTCTGCTCATCTTACACTGCTCGTCCAGATAATCTAAAGCCCTGGTCTTCCTTCAATGAGGTCGATAGTCGGCTGATTGTCGTGAAAGTCAATGTGCACCCAAGAAAGCCCTTCTCGCTCATATTTGTCCTTTCCAGTTTGAAAACGTGCTGAAATTGGAAAAGCTTATCACTGCCAAGTTAAAGGCTGCATACATTTAAGTGCTTGAGGTTTTCAATGGTTTTTATCAAGGGCCTCGGCTTTTCAAGGGCCACCGGGTTTATCAAGGGCCTCACGAGTATTTTTTTTCAAGTTTACAAGTTTCAAGTAAATAGGTTTTTATTTCTGCACAACTAATAGTGAATTTCCCATCGAAATTGATTTGAAATTTGTCAAAACATGAAGAATTATCATTTCTGAAGGCAAAATATACGAATCAACCAATCAATCCTTTCTTGAAAATTCTGTACTCTGTAGTGTTTGCATTTCTTATGGCTTCCATAATGGGATTTGTAGCAAGTACGCGGTCTTCTACACACGCGGAACTAGTACGGTGTTCAGCAATAGAGGCAAAATATCTAGTTTCAGATAGAAACTTTAGAATATAAATGCAAAACAAACCTATGAAAGGCAGTCTCGGTTCTTTCTCATATCGAAAACAGACACATTCAATAATCTCGATCGTGAAGCTATATTTGGTGTAGACCTATTGGATGCCACTACGTTGTAGGAATTGTTACAATAGGTATCATATGGGTATCACTCGATTTTAATAGACGCTTACATGAAGGTGAGAGCCGCCAAGTATGCTACCAAGCAGCGATGGGGGGGGGGTGACTTGGCGGCTTAAGGGCTTCCACGCTGGGAATGGTTGTCAAGGACAAAGTTATGCACAAGTTATAAGAGTAACTAAAAACAACTCGATAATTATTTAATTACTCTAGTAATTATCGACACTGGGTGCGCGGCCGAAAGCGCGAGAAGTACGCGTTGTGCGGAAAGAATGGACAGATTCGGCTTAGTTCTATATGAAATATACTGTCGTAGTCAACAATGTAAATTTTAAAAAAATTTATTGCAGCCTTTGGGTGCATTAAAAAGTTATTAAACAGGCACACACAATACATTACAATTTACAACAGTAACAAAATACAAATTATTTTGGTTTCTCGTGTATTGCGTGGCAGTCCTTGCAGATCCTCTTCTTTTTGTACAGTCGCTGGACACGTGAAGGGCCCATCGTCCTTTTACTGCGGCACTGCGCCCTTGATGTCCCTTTACGTAGCAAATGTCGCAATAACGTGTTGGAGCAATATCCGGGCAACCATTCGGTCTCGTGGTGAATGGCAGCGATTGGTGGTCCTTCTGTTGCTGGTTCTTCTCGATCCTGTCGAGTTGTCCTTTGATCACCTACTGCGTCTGCCAGACGATCTAGCCGCCTGTCGATGTTGCGAGGGTTGGGTAGTCGGGCAAGGCTGACAGACGGCTTTGCTCTACAGGTTTTCTTCTGACCGATCGAAAGGTCCAAGAGGTCTTCTTCAGTGGTGTTACGGAGCGATATACAGACGATTCGAAAGGGGATAGTAGTAATGACCTTTTGCCGAATACTGATTTATATATAGATGCGTAGATGACATGGTAAGATGTTTGATACCCGGTAGGACATGATGGTAAAATACCGCCGAATTTACATGAGGACTAAAAACTTCGATAATTTCTTTTGAATTTCTCGAAGTGGATCACCATGTTTAAAACGGTAGAAGGAAGATTAAACAAATGATTTCTGTCAGCAAACCGAAATAAAAAGGAATCGTTGGCACAGAGAAGAATAGAAAAATTGAAACAATTTGATGCATTTCAACTGCAGTCAGTAACCACTACTTTGAGAATGGAGATTAAGCTGACCCTGTAGTTTCCAAGCGGGTAGCTTTGGGATTTACCGAGTGTTTCAACACCATGTAGATCCACCCTCGCTATTTCTCCTTCCTTTTTTAGCGAGCAAACGATACACTTTCTGGAACAGCTAAAACTGAGGACCTTAGACACAAACTCTATGCATTCGAACAAAATCACGCAATAATTTCAACGATTTTTACGCTTACAGTATGCGATAGAGACGACGAATTTTCAGCAAATGGGTGTATGCTACGGTGTATGCTCAAACATCATAGCTGTTTTCACCTTTTTCAGTGGCTCGGGAGACAATGGAGTAGGCAGGTGCGGACCACAAAACGGCAATCAATCAGAATTAGAACCAGGACTCGGCACGAGGTGGCTTTTGGAAATTGCTAAAACGAAATCCCCCTTGACTTTCCCAGAATTTTGCAAGTCCTCTTTGATCCTGAATGATCCTTAAAAAAACCCAAAAACGAAACGCCGACAGAAAAACGCCGCAATTTTTGTGTCTTTCTGCCACAAAAAACGAAACCCCTTCGCTTTTTGTCCCAAAAAACGATAACCAGCTTTCTTAAAAGCCACCTGTGCCGAGCCCTGATTATCACCCAGCACTCCTGCTCTAATTTTTCAAGAATTACCTAGTTTCCAATCTTTCTCGGCATAAGGAAAGGCATTCATTTACTCTGCCAGTAGTATGCATAAGCAGGTGATGGTTGAAGGCTTGGGTTGTGGAGAAACGATAATCAGTAATTTTGCAAACAAAATCACTGGAGCTGTTCAGATTTTGTTGTAAAGCTCAAAATACAGGCGGCAGGAGGTGAAAGCAGAGAGTTTAAACTTTTCCGTAAGCTTTTGAAAGTGGACAAAGTAAAATGAAACAGAAGAACGAAGATAACGAAGACATGCACGACAAGACAAGACAGGACATGCAAATGTGTGAGATTTGGCTACCGCTGACGAGAAGGATGGCGACAATCAAGTTGAATCGGCCTATTATATCGTCCCTCCACAGTTGCTGCTGCCCTTGGTTTGCTTCTCAGACCTGCCACGTGTGGCTAACAGGCAACGTGGCAACAACATGTTGCAAACATGTTGTTGCCACGTTTCCAACATGTGAGCCACACGTGGCAGGTGTGAGACGCAGACCAAGGGTAGCACCAACTGTAAAGGGGACGATACATTGCAGAATGGTCTGTAAGCCAGTAAAGAGGCGAAACGGGATTTGTAACTATCAAATGAGCTGTTTTGTGCAAAAAGAGGAGACAAAAATATATGCGGAATAAGAAAAATGTGTATGCATGACCATTTGGAAAATGTGCTTTTATTCATCATAGTCTTTTGAATATTAACAACGAATACTAACATAGTATCTATTATATTGCATGGGTTTGAAATACTTCATAAATCACTACGCATAATACATACTATGGGCGAAAAGCTGATTATCAACACTAACAAGAATGAGGTTAGAAGAAGAATGTGGCTGCTAAACTGAGGATTGCCAAGAGTGACTATGCGACAATTCAACGAAAAGGTAAGAAATGATGTCAGTGGTGAAAGAGACCTTTACAGGCTGAGTGGCGCCATTGGGATATCTGTTCCAAGATGCAAGATGAAATTTTTAGCGTATCAAAGGAAGCAACCGCAACGGAGCTTCAGCTTGGGTGGATTCGCACCGTGATACTGTGCATTGAACTATGATAGGTATACCGTAGACAAGAGAAAAGCACAGAGATCGGATTAGTTTTTACAACATGATTTTTTGAAAGCCATTTTTATTTATTTGAAACAAGGATTAGAAAAGAGACACATCCAGCTTACTAAGAAGTGTGTCAACTTCATGACTTATGTTTTTGTTTTGGAATCATTGCAGCTTTCTAGCATGCCAATAACGAAATGATGATCATTCGTCACTAACTTACATAGATTTAATTATTACAAAAAACCTACTTTGATACAATTTTGATCCCACAAGTACTACAGCAAACAATGTAAAAGTCATATCGTTGACCACGTTTCCAATGATTGCGTTCAACTCTGCCGTAATAATTACTGTATTGCTAACATATAAAAAATTGAGAGAGTGAGAAATGAAGCGTCTTTGTGAATGATTTCAAAGGATCTCAGCATACTGAAGAAGCCCAAAACATTCTAGAAATCCTTACAAAATTTCTGTCAGTTCTGACATACGATTTCCCGCAGGGTCGTGATCCGAAAAGCGAAAAATGCTCTCATACAGACGATGACCAAAAAGCGGCTTGATTATGTATGCCCTGGATAACAATGATACTTCGCGAAAATTGCAAGGGAAATGGGTGCTGGATTGCTTTGATTTGCGAAGATATCAGGAACAAAAGCAAATAAGTTTAGGTTGGCATCTCAGCACAAAGTGCAAGTGGAATTAGTCATCGCATACTAGACAGGGGAACCACAGCACGTAAAAAAGTTTCTGCCGTCCTTGTACGCGAAGTTGCAGAGAAGGTTATTAAGTAGTCTAAAGACGGTGCCAGCCAGCAGTATTACCGCATCAAGCTTATTCCAAGTTTCTTTTGTTATGCACAGAAGTAGAGATTGATAAACGATGAGAATATGTTGAATTGTGGGCACTTAGGAATGTCCTTAAAGGAGTCTTTCCTGTACCGTTGGGGTCCTGACTTTTTATGCACACCATAGATAGTAAGCAACTGTACTCGGATTTGTTGAAACCGAAGGATCAAGGGCTATACATCGAGGGGTGACTGTACTGTATACCAGCCTCCACTCATCCACTTAAAAGCAGTGGCTCGGGAAAATCGCGACTGGGGCTTTCCACAACTACATAGCCTTCTGGAATAGCTGAGTCACCTACTGTGCTCGAAAAGTCAAAAAAGTGCTTTATGGCGTTTTCCGTCCTTGGAAATTGCTGAAGAGGCGTTGCGTGGGACCAGCCATAAACAGCAGCTGGCTGCAGGATACTGTAACTTCATTTATTTTGGCGACAATTAGTTGTTCAGCCCATGCAACCTATGGCGATAAAGTTGACGGAAATCTTTCCGTCATAATCTTTTGAAATGGAGATAGAGGCGGAAATCTAATCTTTTCGCCTCTATCTCCAAGGCCGTTGAACGCCAAGAAAGCACCTCTGAATTTTTTAGCATAGTACTTGACTCAGCTGGACCACGTAGTTGTAAAAGCCCCAGTCGCGATTTTCCCGAGCCACTGCCTTTAACACATTCACAACGAGGCCGATTTTTCGATTACTGCCGTTTCGGACCAAAGCCTTTTGCGCGTCAGACTTACGACAAACCCGTTGATCGTATTGTTCGAAGTGGATTCTTTTTGGAAAAAGTTCAGAACATGTCCCCGAAAATTTTCCAGAGGGGTAATCGAGGCGCTGATTACCAAAAAGCAACTCATTTCAGTTTTTGGCTGTACGGTAAGGTTACGGTAGTCATCTTATACATCATGGATTTTCATCAAAGTTGTCTTTTGGGTTATTTCACGTGCTGATCACGTTTATAGTGTCCACTTTGTTCAGTACTGCCCGCAGTGGGGATACGGTAACTGTCCGATAGATTCGTAAAAGTCAAGGAACTGATATAAGTGGTACGAAGACTTGAAACTATCGATCAACATACAAGACCTGGATAAAGTAAGTGTCAGTAAAATTTGAGCTTCCTAGTATGAATAATGCAAAAAATCAATAGAATCAATGAAATCGAGAATTTTTTGATGGGCTAACGTCAGCCTCTTGCCCGCTCCGTATTACTTGTGCATGTAAACTTGATTTCCAGCATTTTCTGCGAACAATTTGAGCTAAAGTCTGCGCCTTGTATCTATCTACGGTACACCTACCGTAATATTACAATACAGTATCGCGAGCCCGGGCCACTCTGGCTGGAGCTTCGCCTCCTAGGTGTCTCCAACCATGTGCCAAAATCTCCTAAAATTCCATAAGAGCTAGAGCTTTAGGAATCTTACGACCCACCAGTCTATTGTCCGAAATGGCAGAACAAGTACGACTCACCGGTGGGTTGTATCGTCGTGAAGGTGTTAAGCATCGCCCGAGTGTTTTAAAAACTGCAGAAGCAAGGAGATTGCTTCTTAGGGTAAGCTTATCTCCTCTGTATGGATGAAGAGGATGGTGTATGATGAGTCTTACAAGAAGTAAAAGGGGCCGAGGTGGAGTCTCATCAAAGCACGTTCTGCGGTGAAGTTTCTATGTATCTCTCTAACGAAATGCTTCTTCCATTTGCAAAGCATTGGCTGCGATGTTATCTCAATGCACATCTTGGAGATATTCTCTTTTCAGGTGGTATTTCTTCGTAATAAGCTAATATGGCAGTAGTGAATTGCTTTGTTTGATTAGCGCTCTGTAGTGCTGTTACATGTTTTACGTTTTATTCTAGCTTTGAATCTTATCCATCTTTATGCTCAACTGTTAATCGTGAGTAGCCAGTGACCGAAGCAGAGACTTTTTTCGACGAGAGTGCTATTGTGAAACGAGTCTCAACCGTTTTTCTACTAAAACATTTGCCCACTTTTCATGAACGTTCCTTTTTGGCCTCTGTGGTATTTACTTTGAATACTAGGTATTTTTTAGTAAGGTAGGCGCCAAACTAACTGATTGCCTGCTTCAGCAGAACGCGGCGCATTTAGGCGCCGCGTCCTGCTGAAGCAGGCAATCGGTTCTGTTTGACGTTACGCTATAGGAAAATCAAGTTGGCATGCGCAGTTTCCCCCAGAACATAAATTTTTCGCTGTAAGGCCTTTTTATGATTCTCTCATTCTGCCAGGCTTTTTTATCATCTCTTTAAATCTGCTGTTGTTGCGAGCATCGTAGCGTTTCGTAAAGAGCACCATGCAAGACGAAAGCAAAGTTTCACCGACATCTGAGATTATTCGAGTTGTGTAAAGCAATTTGAAGCCATCTTTTGAATTGCTGTGAATCCAATTCGTTATGTTATAATTACAGTAATGCCAAAAACATGCTCAACGCATGATGCGCAAATTAGTGTGATTGTCCGGAATGAAGCAGCATATGCAAGGAAGGGGAAAAGATTGCCAGCTTTACCGAGCTGACGAAGAGTCATAGATTCGACATGCATGGTTAAAATAGAAGTCGGCCGGCTTTGGTG